GAAAATGTCAAAAGTTGGCCGAAATTTGAAGAACGAACCAATGAAAAAAATTCACTTTTAAAAAACCTGTCTAAAAATTGTGAAAAAATTCAGGGACGTAGATCTCGATATGCTGATTCCAAAAATATAGTGTCACGTAGCAACATTTTCGAAAGAATCGGTACGAAATGGGAATTTTTGAAAATTTCAAAAAATTTCGATATTTTAACGGTCGATTCTGGAAAAACGGTTGCACTTATCAAAGAAACGATGCCGGAAGTGAGCTCCATATCTACAAAAAAATGTATTTAGTTCAGTTTCGAAAATGTCAAAAATTGGCCGAAATTTGAAGAAGAGGGGACCACTGAAAAAATTTCACTTTTAAAAAACTTGTCTAAAAATTGTGGAAAAATTCAGGGACCTAGATCTCGAGATGCTAATTCCAAAAATATAGCGTGTTGATGGTAAAGGAGAAATATTTTCGGAAAATTCGGTGTGAAATTCGATTTTTCAAAATTTTCAAAAATTACGATATTTCAATGAACGATTCTGGAAAAACAGTTTAAATTATCGAAGAAATGAAGCCAGAAGTAACTTCTGCGTCCCACAATCTACAAGAATATGTATTTAGTTAATCAATTTTTTGGAGGGGATAAGCAAAAACATTTTGACTAAACATTTATTATGCTCTTTATAACCTTAAAAAATCTGCAAGATTTCAAAGCATTCGGTTTTGTAGTTCCTGATTAACTCAATAAAATAAATTTACGCATTCATTAATTGTTTTGAGTCATCCTGTATATGCAAATTCAAAAAATATGAATGGAGTGATATCACAAGCACAGACTCATCATATTTTGTACATTTTACATAGGATTTATTGGCAAACTTTTGAGCTGACGTCATCAAGTTTTTGGAGGGGATAACCAAATATATTTTGAGTAAAGATTTATTATGCTCTTTATAGCCTTAAAACATCTGGAACATTTCAAAACATTCGGATTAGCATATTCAAAATTAAATTGCAAAATGTTGTTTTATAATTTTGATTTTTTTTCCAAAAATCTGGACGTTTCGGGTAAAAACTCAATTCGGAGTCGTAAACTACATGTTTAGGACTATATTATTTTATACAATTTAAAACCCATTTACTATGTACAATTTTGAAGTGACGTCATCACATTAGTGGTGGGGATGATTAGACAAATTTTGGTTAGCGTTTTACCATCTACATGATATTTGTAATATAGCTGTCCGTCCGTCTGTCCGTCTGCCTGCCGTGCCGGATTTTTATTAGACAGATAATCTCCGAAAGTACTGGACCGATTGTTGTGAAATTTTGTAGTTATATTAGGAATATCATGTAGATGCCCCTCGAGTCACAACGAATAGAAAACATAATCCCAATTGAGATAGGGTGAATGGGCGGGGCTTATATTTTGCCTGTTTATTCTTAATATACGTCGTATTTTATTCACAACAACAAACTTAAAACATGTTCGAAATGATAAATTTGTGTATAGAAATATGGATTTATTTACGCTCCGCCCCTCGGTCTGATTACGAATGAAAAATTCATCACAACTGAGATCGGGACGTGTGGGTGGTGATTAATATTTGTCTTTTTTCTTTCTTAACATATATAGTTTTTTTTAACAACACGATGCACATGTTCAACATGGTAATTTGTTGTAAAGAAATGAGGATTCTGCAATTAAGCTCCGCCTCCCAGCTCTCGACGAATAGAAAACGTCATCCCAATAGAGATAGGGCGGGTGGGTGGGGCGTATATTTTGTCCTAGTATTCTTAATATAGATAGTGTTTTTTTCACAACAGGAAACTTAAAACAATTTCAAAATGGTTACCTTACTATTTGAAATTTTCATTACTGGTACGTGATTTTCTATTAATCTATCTTTCATCAACGCCATTATATTTTTTTTAATCTGAATATTTTTGCTTCTAATTTTACTGTCTTAGGCCTTGAAGTATACTGGGTCCATAACCTGTTGCAGACATTGAATTTTAACAACAATTTACCAGTGTTATAAATATCAATTCGTCAAGTACGTTATAATAAAACCAACCTGACAAAACCATTCACAAACATTAATAGTCATTCGGTATAACAATCAATGAGAAAGATATTGTTCACTGAACAGCAACATAATCCGAAACACAACAAGCTTTTGTAGCATTAATAAACTTATTGATTACTGAATAACAGTCATTTAAAAAAAAAACTTGAAATAATTATTCCGGTTTTACCTGTAAAACAAAATATAGGTTAAAAGGAAATCAATATCACAAGCGAGACACAATGAGCTTAAGACGTAAATTCCGAAAGAAAACCGGGAGAATTAATGAGACCACTTTACCAAATGACATTATAAAGCTCCTTCCAGACGAAATTATGGTCTAGCAATGTATTTTCGTTGTGCTCAGTTTACCGACGTGTAGTTTAAGTGTGACCTTAATTATTTTTAAATTTACTAAAAATCTCTAAACATGGAAAATGCACCAAAACCGAAATGTCACCAAACCGAAAATGACAAAAGCAAAAAAACTCCATCTCCAATGATAAAACCGTTCTATTTAGTGACATTCGGTTTTGTACAACTTCCTACCGTAAGAACAATTTTAAAATTTGTCTCTGTATTGTACATTTTATTGGTATGCTTTTTCGTCGTCGTGCTACTGTTAACGTCTGACAGTTCGTTGTTGGTACAAACTGGCGGAATAATCACCATCGCAACAAACGTAGGTTGATAATCTTCTCAAATATACGTATATTTTACCTCAAACTTTCAGCATCTTTATGTCACCTGGGTGACATTCATCTTCGAAAAAAAGTTTACCAAAATCCTGTCAGAAATAGCAAGTCAAAAAATTTGGGATGAAATGTTTACTGCACGAATCAACACTAAGATCACCACAGAGGCCAGAATAATTACTTACTGCGAAATAGGAGCACTAATTTCATTTTTAATATTCTCCGTTGAGTGCTGGCCAGTTTTTAATATTTCTGGAAATGTTTTTGTCGGAATTAGTTTGTTGAAGACAGTTTTTGGTCCGATTTCTAATATAGTCATTTCAACAGTTTATCTAACATTTCCTGTTGTTGGCTACACTGGATTTGTTGGTGGTGGTCTCATAATATACATGATTTTTAACATAAAGTTTTATGTGTATTGCATATCTCATCGGTTGAAAAAGTTATCAGAAAAAAAGTTAGATGACTATAATGAGACAGCCGAGTTTCATCTGGAAGTGTTTTCAGATCTGAAAACATGTATCAGGTGTCACCAACTTGTACAAATGTAAGCTTGTAACTTAATTTTTTTTTCAGTATATAATATTTATACTTTTTTAGTGCTGTAAGAAAACTAAACGACGTTATTGAATTTCCAGCAGTTGCAATAATTTTACTTGCAATGACAGTAATCGTCGGTGCTCTGTTCAACAGTTTTCTAGTAAGTATTTTCTAGTTCGTTAGTTTAAAATTATCAAAGAGAAAACTTTTAGTACGAAATAGAATCTGCGACTGATTACATATTTATTCTTCACTATATGGTAATCACAAGCACTGTTCCAGCTGGAATTATTTATGCTGCACAAACATTTATAAATGAGGTATGAGACAACTAACTGAGTTTACCAGATTTTGTTTATGAGACAGGATCTTGCTTAATTCAAATCATTAATTTCCTATTTATACTCCACTTAAAAATCATTTTTGCAGCATGACAAGGTTTATCGCCACCTTGAGAACTGCCAGTGGTTTGAGTGGAATTCTACAAATAAAACTATGATGTTAATATTCTTGCAAAACTCCCAGAAATCTATATATATTGGACATCGAAATATACTTCGTCTTGAATTCAGTTTCCTGCCAAAAGTAAGAAAAAAAGTAACGAGTTTGCATATTCCCTCATGATGTGTTTTTAGGGCCTCAAGTTCTTGTGGAGTGCAACCGTGTTTTTTATCCACATTGTCAAGAAATGAAAGTAAACCTAAAAATTTCAAAATGTGTTTATTACTTCAATAACCCTGTAAATCCTTCCATATTCTTTGACAACTAACCGCTCAACTACATATAATGAAGGACTGTCACCTGTGATAAGCATAAAATCCCCATTTCAAATTCATTTATTTAGCCGATAATAATTTTCAAAATTTTCAAAATTAGAAACAAGTTTTATTATTTTTTTTTACATTTAAGCCGAAGGGGGCCCCTTACCTTCGGGGGCCTGATGCTCCAGCATCACAAGCATCCCTATAGATCCGCCTTATATATATACAAACTTTGCTCGTTTAATAGTATAAGATTTCACTTTGACATTTGCATTTTACATGGTTAATCCAAAGACGCGATCGCCGAATTTCAAACTACGGTTTTTAAAACCTTTTTACAGTAAATGAGCGCGATGCAACGATTTGAAAAAAATACTGGTCGATAGCCTTCTTCGATCTCCACAAAGGCGTCACTCAATAATAGCTTTAAAGTGATCTGGGGAGATATTATAAAATAAAAACCAATTTGCCATGTTAATTCCCTATGTCCAGACTTGGATGCGGCACCCTGTATATATATATATATATATATTTATGGCTAACTATCAAAGAGAGGACTCACTGTGGACCATACTAAATGAGGACCTATAGAAAAAAGGAAACTAGAGCCGTCAAAGTCTTGGTATAACTTTTATTGGTTAGATGGCGCTAAGGGAAGCACCAATATACACGTGGAAAATGAAAGGCGGCAAAATTTGTTTTTACGAGTATATTATCACAAAGTGAGGACTGCACCATTCTTCTGTTAATGTGAGAATCGTATATTTCGTTACTCAGTGCAGACACTGTGAGGACCTTTACACATGTATAAAATCATGAACATGCTAAAGTAAGGTCCACACCATGTTGCCATGTTTTCTGAGTTAAGATTTTCCGTATCACACGTTTCTAGACATAACAAACGAATAACCTTTTCATTTTTACGCGTTGGGTTGAAGTGTTGTGTTCGTAAATCGGGAATTGAAATTATCAAAATAAAGGTAAGTATGGTAAAACTGTAAATAACGTACCCTTGAAACAAATTTGTTAGAATATTGTTTGTTGAATGGTATATTTTTATTTTCCGAGCCTAAGCTTAAAGGAAGCTTATCCTCGACATCATTTCACAAATGCTGTATCTCTAGATTCCGCCTGTCTATTTGTCGTTTCTTCTGTAGGCGATTTTATTATGCAAGTATGTTTGTAAACTACTGGACTGATTATTATAAAATTCTAAATATACTTTATTAGTATTGCGCCGCAGATTGTAAAACACTATCCAAAATTTGTTATGTAAGTTCTGTTTAAAATTTGCAAAAAAAATATTTCAGATGTTCTTGTGAATTAAAGAAAATATTTTTTTTAATGTATTTTATCAATTTATCTTTACTTTTGAAATTGGACATGTGGAGGTTCATTAATACATTCATTGTTTTAATCTTACATATGCAGATTTCCGAAAAAAACGTAAATTTTTACAAAAGGCTTGTAATGGGAGTATATCGTTAGTCTGAGTTAATTTGATTTTCTTCAAAAAAAAATTAAATATACAAAACTCCATAATTCTTAGGATAGAAAAATTAACGGATAATACACTAAAACAAATAAAATAGTAAGTTATTCTTCTTATTAAAATTAATAACTGTTCAAAAACATGTACCAACGTCCAATGGTTTTGAATTGCACTTTATATTTCATAGTGTAATGGGCGATAAATTACTTATTTTTGGAGATATCAATATGAGTCAGAACAATCCTCATCGTTGCAAAGATCAAGGATGCCCTTGTGAATCCTGGATTTTATGATTTCACACCGCTTTAATCAAGGTTTATAATTTCACAGTTAAATATTGCCGCCGCTTGTCTGGATGCAATATCTTTCTCCAGTTTTATAATTTTATAGTTTAAATTTGTGAATAATAGCACTTTTGCCAATTAAAATATTAATATTAAACTTAATTAAACCTTATATGGCGGAAATACGAATACTTTTATGACTCCCCAAATAGACTGGTAACTGGTAAATAATTTTGCATAAACATCTCCTTTGGAGGGATTCTCACTTACAAAAGACGAAAGGATTCATGAGAGATCAGAGTCCCCTAACTAGTTGCCAGCCCAGTGTGTGTTTTTGTTGTTACATTAGGGGTAAGTGTTGATATCTCTGAAATGTGCATGATTTCATAAGTAGTTTTTTATTTTTAAAATTGAGTTTAATTTTGATTGTAAACTGCCCTTTGTATTCTTGAATGGATAATGTTTTGAGTTTCATATTTTTGAAATTAATTTGCATTAAAATTATTATTGGTTAAATAGTAATATTGTTTCGATGAACGCTGACTACGTGCTTCTATAGTGTTCTTTACCTTTTTAGTGTTATGTAACATTCTCATTTTATATATATTTTTCAATGTTTGTTTGTTTTATTTTTCAAAGATTTTATTTCATACCTATAACGTTTTCTTGAATGTACCAAAAAGGTTTAATAGTAAAATACATTTCTGTTAATTATAATTGTATGATAACTCTAAACTAAATTCCTTTTGGAAATACGTAGTCATTTCCATATTAAATATAATTATTCATTAGTTAGTATTTTCTATGTCCAGTCACTAGAATGTGTCATCACGAACCAACCTATCAACAAACAAATAATATTTCCATTATATGTCGGGCACGAAGACCACGACAAGAGTTTCACATTTGATGAACTAAAAAAAAGCTAAATTTAAAAATGTCCCAAGCCCGTTACAACAGGCAAGGGAAATTCTGTTTAAGTATCATTTGAACAATTTTTTGCCATCATTCGACAAAGCTAAATGCATTTGTGTAATGTATGATGATACGAATAGTATACATATTGATAATCTTGTTTTGTAGTTAGAATGAATAGAACACGGAAAATATTATTGAGGGCCAAAGCTACTTTGAAGGCTGATGCTAGTACTTTGGATTTACTGGAAATCCCAAAATATGAAAGTACGAAAGGACTAGATCAAAATGAAATAACCATACTTCTTTCCAGTGAGTACTGCACATAAGTTATACCTATTGGCATCATAATTTTTTAGATCGCCATAAGTTATTTAAAGAAGTTATATCAACTGTTGGTGAAGAAGTTACATCAACTCTTGATGATGAAACCGAACCCTATGAAGACAGCGGCGAAGAATACATTCCAGATTCTGAAGAGACATCTTCCGACAGCGATTCTGAATTTCAAAACTTTATAAAGTTTCCACCATGTGTTTTACGAGATCGCCAGTCTGATATGGAGGAACAAAAACAAAATGCGTTGAATGGAGGGAATAGAAATAAGAAGAATGTAATCAACAAAAATACAGGAAGAGAGACACATGTATTAACTAATTTAGACCAACCAAGTACATCTACATATATAAGTAAGTATTGCCAAAAATTTTAAAAGGAATAACATATTTTTATTATAAATTTATAAATATTGTCTTTGAGTCGATAAGACTATAAGCATCAGTCTAATATTTACAAAAAATATAACTTTATGTGAAAAGAAGTAGATATTTCTTACCATGGGAGACGATAAAGAACAATAATACAAATTGTGAAATAGAAACAGTTAAGATTAATGTATTAATTTCATGTCTCCCCAAAGCAGTTGTCTCTACTATAAATAATGCTCCATGTTCGGATGGGGTTTTTATAAATATCTACTTTAAATATTTCGTTGTTCTTCAAGTTTTATTGAGACTTGAATACATCCCTACTGTGTGAATGAAAGTTTATACTTTTTTAGATTGTCCAATATCGTTTAATGAAGTCACAACAACTACTAATGAAACTGATACGTACGAAGATCGTGATGCTGAAAATGTTCCAAATTTTGAAGATACATTTTTTGACAATAATGAATTCGATCAGGCAAATCAAAATTTAGACACAGGAGAGGTGTGTTTCATTGTTATAAATAGTTTAATTTAAAATATCTATGAATATCTATCTATTACTAGGCACCTAATTCGAGAAAGAAACGTGTATGGAATAAAAAAGATTATTGCTTTTTTTGCGATACAGAGGTCATGAAGTTTTCGCGACATGTTATACGACATCACCATTCTGAAATTGAAGTTCAAGAAATTTTAGCGCTAAATGTACGAAGCAAAAGAAGAAAAGATCTCTTTACCAAGCTCAGAAACAAAGGAAATTTTTTGAAAAGTGCTGTTGGTAAACATGTGGTACCAGTAAGGAAGCCTACATTGAATAGTTTAGAGCAACTCTCTACTACCGCATACCTTCCATGTAAGCATTGCAAAGGGTTTTATAAGAAAAAATTTCTTTACAGACATGTGAAAAAATGTCCACATAATAACGATGATAAAACCATAAGAACCAATGCCCAAAGTGAGGGTCAATCTTTGTTTGCTGCTTACAGAGAGAATGATATTTTGCGAAAAGAAGTATTTCCAACGATGAGACCAGATGAGATATCATTTACAGCGAAAACAGATCCTTTAATATGTGCTGTAGCTAGGAGGTATTTGAAAAGCCATCGTGACAAACAATTCCGATTAGTTGCCTCACGCAAAATGAGACAACTAGCCTCCTTACTTATAGAAATAAAAAAAAAGATTAAGGTTAAAAGTTTATTCCAAGCACTAGATCCATTAAATTTCGATATTCTTGTTCAGTGCACTAAAATAATCTCCCGATATGACGCCGAAACGGACTCTTATGGTGCTCCATCACTAGCATCTCACATGGGAACGGAATTAAAAGACTGCATTGACGTGGCTTACAACATGTCACTTAAAAAATATAAAGCAGAAACAAATGATGCAAATAATTTAAAATTTTGAAAGAATTAATTGTTAATGAGTGGCGGTTCGAGGTATCCACCATAGCTAACAGTGACTTACAACAAAAAAAGTGGAACAAACCCTCACTTATTCCATTAGCCGAAGATCTTACTTTGTTAAAAGCATACCTACTTGCTGAAAGCGACAAATGTAGAAATACCCTCGCGGAGTATCCAGAAAATGAAAAAGCTTTCAAAACTTTAACTGAATTAACCTATGTGCAACTGCTTCTCCTAAATAGAAGAAGGGTTGGCGAATTACAAAGAATGACCGTAACTTCTTATACTGCTAATATAAATAACAAAAGTACAAATGAATTCGATAGCTGTATCACTGAAAGTGAAAAAGTCCTGATGAAATCCTTCAAAAGAGTTGTAATAAGGGGAAAACGAGGTCGAGGAGTCCCGGTTCTGTTTACGGAAGAAATGGTCAGAAATACAGATTTACTTTTGCAAGTCCGGAAACATTTTATGCGACACAAAAATGAATATTTATTTGCAAATACAAAATCCTCTAGTAGTATCAGTGGAACGAAGGCAATTTACAAGCATGTAAGGCTTGCCGGTGTAAAAAATCCGGCTGCTTTGACGTCGACTAAATTAAGAAAGCACCTCGCAACGATGTCTCAAGTAATTAATTTATCTGAACAAGATTTGGAGCAATTAGCAAATTTCATGGGACACACGTCTGAAATACACAAAACTTACTATAGGTTACCTAGCGATGTGTATCAAATGGCCAAAGTGTCAAAATTACTTCTACTTAATGAAAAAGGTGAAGCTTCGAAATATAAAGGGCAACGCTTAGACGACATCAACATCAATTTAGATATAGTAGAAGAGTCAGATGGCGACAGTGAAGGTGATGACTTCAATGAACAAAACATAAGAGGCGAGATTGATAAGAACAACGTGAGTATTATAGGTATTTCTTATTATTTCACAATATTTTAATGTTTTTCCTGTAATTTAAAGAAGGAACCCACTTCATCTAAGAAAAATTCTATGTATGTTTCCCAAACGAAAAAGAAACGTACGCTAGAGCCCTGGACGGATAGTCAAAAAGAAGTGGTATTAAGCTATTTCAAAACTCACCTGAAGAAGAAAATTCCACCCAAGAAAAATGAATGTCTCCATTTAAAAAGTGAACATCCCGATTTATTTTCCAATAAATCTTGGGAAAAAATGAAAATCTTTGTTGTAAACAAATATAACCAAAACAAATAAATTTTATTTCAGATTATAAACTTATTTTTACTTCCCGAACGTAAGCGAAGGAAGTATTGTAATCGATTCCATCGGCCGACTCTCTACTTTTACGTTTTCTCGACCTTTCACGACCCTTATAATACGAAGAAATAGGTCTGCCGTTTCCGTCTCTCTGTCCGTTTGTCTGTCCGTCTGTCTGTTTGTCTGTCTGTCCATTCGTCTGTCCGTCTACCGTCCCGATTTTTATTAGACAGATAATCCCCGAAAGTACTGAACCGATAGTTGTCAAATTTTGTATTTATATGAGGAATATCATGTAGATGGTAAAACGCTAACCAAAATTTGTCTAATCATCTCCACACATGTAGTTTATGATTCCGTATTGAGTTTTTATGCGAAACGTCCACATTTTTGGAAAAAAAATCAAAATTATAAAACAACACTTTGCAAATTTAATTTTGAATTTCCAAAACCGAATGCTTTGAAATCTTGCAAATGTTTTACAATTATGATACGCATGATAAATGTTTAATCAAAATATATTTACTTAATAATAATAATAATAATCATATTTTATTTATCCACCAGCTATACAATTACAGGATAAATATATTCCACAATAAACCAAAAGTAATTAAATTAAATATGAATTATAAAATTGATTCCTAAATAATCCACCCTTCCACAAATCATCTAAAAACTATTTAAAATAACAGATTTTAGTCTGCGTAAATTAATGGTGAAAATGTCAACCTCTGAACATAAATTATTAATACTTCTACACATAGATAATATGTATAGGTGACTGCGCGTAATGGTCCATACTCGCTACAGGTAGATAAAATGTGTCCGTCATCTTACTATTTATTCCTGGGACTAGTAAATTAACCGATGCCAATAAGTATCTACTCATCAGAAATTACATATCTAATTAATTTTATAACAAATACAATTTCATACATAATCCTACGATTGCTTAAAGATATATACGAAAACTCTTTCAATAACAAATTAGAAGGATAACTAATGTTCAACGAAGCTTCTATACCTCCGATAATACAAGATTTTTAGGTATTTGCACTGTACTCTTTCAACCAAATCAGCATAATTCTTATAGCATGGATTCCAAACAACAGAACATTACTCCAATTTACTACGAATGTAAGTATTATAGAAACTGACAAGGGCTTGATTATTGAGATCACGCGTACTTCTTGTAAGAAAGCCTAAAATGCTGTTACACCGTTTGCACAACGTCTCGACATAACTATTAAATGTTAATTTGGAATCAAATATGACACCAAGAATGTGTCACAACGTTTCAGTGCTTTTTGATTAATTGCATAGTGATAAACAATGGTATTCTGTTTCCTTGAGAAAGTCATGACCCTACACTTGTCTTTATTTAGTACCAAACTGTTAGGAGTACACCACTAATAAATCATGTTAAGGTCAGTTTGAAGTAACTCACAATCTATTGCAGATTCAATAGTTCGAAAATTTTTAAGTCGTCCGCATAAAGTAAACAATTACAAGAAAAAAGACCCTGCACTACATCATCAATAAAAACAGAAAACAACAAGGGTCCAAGCACTGACCCCTGTGGAACTCCAGTCGGAAGTTCATATAACCGAGATTTGAAAACTTGATATTAAACATAGTTTTTCCTACCCTGCAGCTAGGAACGAACAAACTCAACCAAATCAGCAGACAAACCAAAGACATGTAGCTTATGTAAAAGCATGTATCGCATCAAAAGCCTTAGAGAAGTCACAGTAAATTATATTAACCTGTAAATGGTTGTCACGGGGATGTGAAACATAATCCGTAAAAGAACAAAGATTAGTAACAGTAGATTTTCCTTTGACAAATCCGTGTTGTTTGGACGACAGGTGATGAACCATATGGAAGGAAATGGGTTTGTTGTTCTTTAAATTGCTAAGTGCTGCTAACACCTCAGTATCACTAAATTCCTTTACTACGCAGATATTAACATTAGAATTAGGCAGTAGCTCACATGTAGAATTTACAGCAGAATTTCTTTCATACACAGACTCAAAATGTGACAAATGCATCGGAAATATTCTAGAGACTATCAATAATATCACCCTTGATATTTAACATAGAACTTAGAATACGCCTTTGCCCCTTGAGACTGTTTATAAACGACCACCGTATTTTAGGATCATCTCGAATACAATTAGATACCATCGCAAGATGGTCAGTCTTAATACTTGATTTTACAAGTTTGCGATAATTCTTAAATTTAACACAATAAATAATATTAGACTTGGTAGACCTCCATATTTTCAAATAATGTTTCTTAACTCTTATGACTCGCCTAGTTTTTGAAAAACACCAAACTGGAAATGAACATTCACGTTTACAGATAACTGGTACAGTTAGATTTAAATAAGAATTCAGTATGGCATAGAATGTGTGCAGGCATTCTCAATATTATTACATTTGAAAACCGGAGTCCTAGTCAGTACTAAGAATAAGACTAACAATTCATTAAAATTACATCTCTTAAAATTATATGATGTAGAATTAGATACTATAAAAGGTTTAAATCTCCCAGATGGGTATTGAATATCAAATAACAATGCAGGATGCTGAGTCTTCTCGTACTACGGTAATTTCTGAGTGGCTTAAACATCTGTTATTAACATTTTTCACCTCATTAATTTGTACAGCACCAACAGAACTAATAAAATTTACGATACTAAGAGATTTAGAACAAGCTACCTCATTCAACAGTGGAGCGTTGAAATCATCCGCAAAAATAAACTTTTCATTAAACAAATCACTTAATTTTAGCTTATGAACTTGATGCTCATATATCAAGGATGGGGTAAATGAAGGAACAATAACAATAACTACGAAATTCAGTCCTCTAAAGTGCAATCGTCAACAAATAACATCAACTTTGTAATCATTCAAAATCAGTTTCAAATTCAATTAACTTACAACCAAACCTCGATTTTACACCACCACCGATACCTGAGTCACGATCACACCTAAAAACTTAATAATCAACTGGAAACAATTCAGAATTTAGTATATCATTAGCCCATGTTTCTGAAAAATAATATCCAGGTCATCACCAGCTAGAACATTTTCATAAAACTCAAGAGTTTTAGTCCTTATACCCCGCACATTCTGATAATAACATCTTATAGAAACAAAGTCAAACGGTTGGATAGTTACAGTTTTTTTGCAACAACTATCTGAGGCATACCATTCGAGTATTTAAAAAAATATATTTTCCTCCTTAGCCGTCCTATCATGAAAGTCCGTGATAATTTTTCTCTTCAAACCAAGTTGCCTCATTGTTAAATATTTATTGATAAATAGTTTGAGGTTGCGCACAAAAG